CTGATCCTCCAGCATAAGCAAAAGGCAGCCCCCCAGAGTCCCTAGGACCACATTCACCTGAATCACCGAAGCTTGATGAAAAAAGTAGCCTACTTCCCACACTCAGAAATCCAAGTCGGGCCCATGCCAGATGTCACTGTCGACCTTCTCCCCCCACATTCCCCCAGGACCCAGGACACCAGAGGCTTCCTCCCTGCTCACCCCATTCCCATTCTAGTGACTCCCAAGAAAGCCACCTCCCCACCCCTACCCCCACCCAACACCCCAAAGGAGTCAATCCAGCCTCAAGCACCAGCCTGTGATTACAGACACCTTGAGTGGAGGATTCTTCTAAGGAATTTACATGAAGGTGTACCGGACTAAACACAGGTCACCAAGGACCTAAGCTTTCAAGCTGAAGCGGGCTGCCAGGCTGCACGACACTTCAGACAGGGTCAGAATGAGATGGGTACAAGGGACTGGGGTCAGGACCCCCATCATTGGCGTGGGTGGCCTCAGGGAAGTTTGACCTCAGGGATGTTCCTAACTCCCAAACCTCAGTTTATTCCCCTGAAGGATGGTGATACTGGCAGCACTACCTCCAAGCTGCCGGGAGACCTGGACAAGCCTCAGCTTAGTGACGGCACATAGTAGGCGACTTCAGAAATGGTGGCAGTGGAGATCATTTGGAGAAAACACGCAGGTTTCTACTGAAGGTCACGGCATATACTGCACCGTGCTAAGTCAGAGGCTATTTCTCACCCAGACCAGTGGCCGCAGGTGCCAAAGGTTTACACAAAAGCTCTGGGGAAAAAGCCTGAAGAGGGTGAGAGGCTCTCCACTAAATGAACGTTGTCTGCAAACTGGGAAAAGACCACTATTAGTCAATTTGGCCAGCGGAACACCTGGGGTCTGCTCTCAAAAGCCTGGTGTGAGAGCAGAGTTTGGCAATCGGGCATTTCCCCTTGGGACCCGGGGCTCTAATGGGGCGATTCCTCGATGGGCCCGCAGAGAAGCCGCTGAGGGGCACAGAGATCTGCATTCCAGTCCTGGCCCCAACCGAAGGATACTTCCTCTCCAGAAGCCTCAGTTTTGCCATCTGGAACCTGGCAGAATGGGGCTGAGAACACCTATCTCCACAGAGCTTTGGGGCTCTCCGTTTCTGGGAGTTGACAGATGGCCTCAGGCCCCGCCCTAGACATAACCTGTGGCCCTTGCAGGCCCCAGGGACAGCCCCGGTCTGAAAGGCCAGAGGAAAAGGAAAGGGGTTGGTTCACTTTGTGGCCTACGCTTGAACGGAATAGGAGGGTCTCACCGCCAAGGGGTTTGCTTCCCCTGCTTGGCCAGAGCAGGCCAAACACAAGAAATAATAAATCCTAACCAGGCTTTGCCCAGCCAGGAGGCCCCGGCTGGCTCTTGTCATAAAAAGATCTTATCCCCATGAGTTCCCCGTGCCCGCTGGTGAAGGACTCCGCCCTCCTCCCCTCAGCCCTCCGCCTCCACTTCTATTTCCTGTGACAACCTGCAGACTGACGACCAACTTGCCTCTCCCCCCACGCCCAGGCTTCTGCTCGACCCCCGCCCTGCCCCGCCCCCCACCGGGGCCCCAGCTGCAGGAGGCCCCGCCAGAGTGTAATTCCCCTCGCCCTCCTCTCTGCCCTGGGCCCGTCCGGACAGATTAAGCCTTTGTCACACACACCCAGAAAAAGCTCAGGGCCAGATGGGACAGGACAAGTGGTGTCAGATCATCGACCCGCGGCCGGCCGGGACTAGGGCAGGGCCGACCACAGCACCGCATATGGCTGTGGGAGGAGGATAGGGGGCCCCGGGAGGGGGCGGCCAGGGAGCAACATGGAAGAGGGAGGACACGCCGTGGCCCCACTGGAGACCCAAGCCCGCCTGAGGGGCTCTTTTAAGCTGCTGGATGGCTGAACCCACACAGCCCTTCTCTGAATTCGCTCTGCCTTCGTGCCCTCCCCTAGAGCTTCTGCGGGGCTCCTTTATCACACCCTCAGTTATGCCCACCAACCCCACCAGCTGGGTGCCCAGGAGCAGGCACAGAGCCCGACCCACCCTAATACCCAGAGCACACCACGGGCCAGTGGGTGCTAAACAAATGCCGGAGACAAAGGTTTATGGCCAAATGACCTTCACAAAAACCCACCCAGAACAAAACTACAGGACCTCTCCCAACTGCCACCAGAGGCAATGATAACTTTAATAGTGTGTGCGTGCGTGTGTGTGAGTGCGTGTGCATGTGTGTAGGCCAGCGAAGGTAGGGGACATCTTCTTTCTGCACCTTTCAAAGAAAGGTCCCATTCAGCCCCTCCCAGGAAGAGGGCATGGCTGCCCCAGAATTCCCAGCAGGATTTGTTCCTCTTAGATCAGTGAAAAGGAAAATGGAAATATAAAAAATAATAACTGAGCCCCTGGAAGGTGCTTGCAGATGGGGGCGGCAGGACCAGGGCCCTCTCCTGAAGCTGGCTCTGGTTGGCTGGGCGAGTGGCAGGTAACTAACGGGCTCTCAGGGGACTGGCAGGCCAGGCAGGCTGGCGTGGGGAGCTGGAGGGGCGGGTTGTCACTGGAGGGCACGTCTGTTGTGTTTGTCTTCCTCCTGGCAGCCTGGGCAGGGAGGCCTGGGTCCTCTTTCTCTGCCTCCCAGGCAGGTGGTCCCTTGGGGAAGGCTTATTATTGGTCTGGGAGCCAGGGTGGAGGCTGGTGAGGCCCGGGCTGCCAGGGGCATGCAAAGGGGACTGACATGGGCCTCAGGAAGGGTTGGAGAGATTAGCTGGGCTGGAGAGTCCAGGCCTCGTACCCAACTTCAGCATGTAGCCTAGATGGGGGCATGTGCGTGGACTTGCTCCACCTGGACACCGGTGTGGCTAAGGGGACTGCCCATGTTGCCCACTCCCTAGAGGGGAGGTTGGCCCACACAGAGAACCAACCAGTGAGCCAGGGTTGAGGGTCACCTGCCGCCCAGCTCCAGACGTGGGTGGAGTGGGGGATTCTGCCTGAGACCTAAGGAGGAGCTTGGGCCAGGGCTTCCAGCTCCCTGGGGAGGGATAACCAAGATGGGGGGGGGGCACTAAAAGACTGAGGAAGCCTGGATGGCTGAGGGCAATGACCCAGGGTAGGGGACACACACCCAGCCCACCACCTGGTGGGTCACTGACCTGGAAAAACCACACTTCGGCTGTGGACACTAACCCAAGATGGGGACAAACCCAAGGGGGTACGGAATTGACAGGCTGGGGAGGGCAGACCTAGGCGGGGAGAGCCAATGACCCACAGTCCCTGTGTAGGAAAACGGGAGCTGATTTGGGCTGGAGGAGGGTCCCTAACTCATGGAGGAAGGGGACAATGACCCTGACTCCCGCGGGTCTGGGGTAGAGCAATAATCTAGGCGGGGGGTGGGGGTGGGGGGAGAAGGTGGGGGGTTCCCTGATTCGCGCGGGCTGGGACGCTGCCCGCCCGGCCTCCCCCTCGGGGATCCGGCCCAGGCGCGCCCCTCGGCCAGACCCCTCGCTCGGGTCCGGCCGGAGGCGGCCGCGGCGCAGATGGGCTGCTGGCGGCCGCCGCGGCCGCGGCGCGGTGATCAGCGCTCCTCGCAGATGGGCCGCCCGCCCTCCGAGCTCGCGGCTCCCCGCTCCCCGCGGCCTGCAGCCCCGTCCCCTGGGCGCGGGGGAGGCGCCTCCGGATCCGCTCCCCGGCTCCCGCCTCCCTCCCTCGCGGCCCCCGCGCCCCGCGGGCCGGGCCCGGGCGGCCGCCGGCGGGGGGGGGAGGGGACAAGTGCACTTTTCGTAACGACCGAATCAATTGTGTGTGAAGAGCCCGCTCCGGCCGGGGACGGGGCTGCGCGCGGGGCGGGCGGCCGGCCGGGGGAGGAGCGCGGAGGGGGAGCGGGGGAGCGGGGGAGGGAGGGAGGCCGGCGCGGGGCGGCCCCGCTCGCTCGGGCCGGGCGAGGCCGGGGAGGGAGCGAGGGGGGCGGGGAGGGAGGCCGGCCGGCCGGGCCGGGCCGGGGGCTGAACGCACTAATGGAGGGGCTCCGCCACGGAAAGTTCAAAGCGCAGCGGCGCCCCGGGAGCGGCCGCCCCCCCCAGCCCCCACCCGCCGCAGAACAATGAGGTCCCGGCGGGGGAGCCGCGGGGCCCGCGCCGCACGCCCTCGCCAGGGCGCCCCGGGCCGGAGGGGACGCCCCCGCCCGGCCGCCCGCCCGCCTCCTCCCGCCCGGCGGCTGCGGTTCCCCGCCCCCTCCCCCGCGCCACCCCGCCCGGACCGGGCCGGCCCCGGGGACGGGGGAGGGGAGGGGATGGATAGGTCAGGCCGCCCCCGTCCCGGGGAGGGGGGAGCCGGGGGCCCGGGGGGCGGAGGGGGCGCCCCACCCACCCGCGGGAGGCTGCTCCTGCGCCAGGCTGCGGCTCGGACCGCCCCTCCCCGAGCCGGCCCCGGGTGGGGTCGCGCAGACAGTGCCCGGGCGGGCCCCCTCCCCGGCGCTGGGCAGCCGAGTGGACTCCCCGTCCCGCGGCCGCCCTGCCCACCCCCTCCCGCGGCACCACCCTAGACACACACACAGACACACACACACATGCAGACACAGACACACACACACACACACACCGCCCAGCCGGCCCGGGGGCGGGAGAGCGAGGCGCCCGGGACAGGCAGCCCCGGGGCGGGCGGGGGGAGGCTCGGGCTCCGGAGCAGCCGCCTGCTGGCGGGGGGAGGGGACGCGGGGACGGAACATGCTGGGGTGAGAAGCCCGGGACAGCCCGCCCGACGCGGCCACGGCCGGGCAGCGGCGCAGAGGGGGGCAGGGACGCCCCGAGCCCGGAGCGCTGCCCCGGCGGGCGCCAGGGAGGGCGGGCGAGCAGGGACGCGTGCGCCCCGGGCGGGCCGGGCCGACGGACAGCCCCGGGGACACACGTTCGGACACACACCCACACCCCACCCCGCCCCCGCCCCCGCCCGCCCCGACCCGACCCCGCGCGGGACCGGCCAGCGGCCGCCGCGCGCGCACTCACCGAGCCCGTCTTGACCGGCACATACACCACTTGGCCCATCTTGGGTTCCCGGCCGCTGCCCAGGCGGAAGCCCTTGGAGCGCACCCAGAACTGGAACTTGCCTTTCTCGCCGGCCGCGGGGCCGCTGCCCGCGCCGGTCCCGCCGCCGCCCTGCAGGACCTCGGCGATCCGCTGGTATTTGCTGCGCGTCACCGTCTTGGTCTTGGCCGAGTCGCCGTAGGTGCGCAGGCACCAGTCCCGGAACTGGCGGCCCAGCTCCGAGTCCCCGGGGCTGCGCTCGCGCTCCCAGCCCCCGCGCAGCAGCAGCGTCGGCTTCGGCATCCTCCCGCCGCGCCCGGCGCCCTCGGGGGCGGGCCGGCCGCCGGGCCGCCCGGTGCCGGGGCTGGGCTGGGCCGGGCCGGGCCGGGCCGGGCCGGGCGCGCCGCGGCCGGGGCTGTCCCGCGGGTGGCGCGGGCGCGGCTGCTCGCTGGGCGCGGGCGGCGGCCGGACGCGCGGGGCTGCGGCGCGCTCTGTCCTGCTCGGGCGGCGGCGGCGGCGTTGGCGGCGGCGGCTCCGGCTCGCCTCCTGCTCCGCCTCCTCCTCCCCCCGGCCGGGATGCAGGAGCGATGGAGGCAGCGCCGGGCCCGGAGGTGCAGAGGGGGCGGGCCGCCCCGCGGGCGGCCGGGGGAGGCGGGAGGCGGGGAGCGGCCCCGGGCGCGGAGGGCGAGACCGAGCCTGGGCGCGGGCGGCGGCGCGGCTGTCAGCTCGCGCGGCTCATCCTGCTCCGGCTCCGGCTCCCGCTGCCGCGGCTCTTCCTCCTCCTCCTCCTCCTCCCGCGCCCGCCTCCACCACGCCGCGGGATCCCACCTGTTAGAGCGGCGCAGCCCTCGCCACCCCCTCCCTCCCGCGCCCGCCCGCGGGGCCCAGCCCCCGCCCCGGCCCGGCCCCCGGGGGAGCTGGGGCCGCCGCGCCCGCCGCCGCCGGGAGGGCAGGAGGCGCGGGCGCGCGGCGCCCGGCCCTGGGACCTAGTTCCCTCCGGCCGGGCCTGGTCCCGAGCCACGCAGGCCGCGCTCGGCCCGGACCGGGCAGCCTCCCCCGGGGGAGGGCGCAGACCCCGCCCGGCCGCGAGCGAACCTGTCTCCCCCGGCAGCGACGCCTGATTTGCGCCCCTCACCGGGCGGTACCAGGCGGACGCCCTTCCCTCCCTTGCGCAGCCCAGCCGGCCTGACCTCTCCCGCTGGAGCCCAGGGCCAGCAGGGCTAGGTTCCCCTGGGGAACCCCAAACCGCCGCCCTTAGGGGGCCCCAAACTTCCCTGCCGCACCCAGAATCCCTCTGAAGTTTGGCCAGCCTTGCCTCTACCAGCCTCGCTGCTCTGGGACAGCCTCAGGCCCCAGGGAAGCCATCTACCTTGGCCATGGCTGCACTCGGGCCAACAACCCCACCAGGGCTTCAGGCCGTGCCCAGCACACCCACAAATGCATCCTGAGACACCCTGTCTTCGTGGGTGCACCTTGCCCTAGATTTTCTTGCCGAGTAAACTCCCTGCTATCCCCCCGCCTCCCAGAGCAGGGCTGACCTTGGGTAGAAACTGGCCCCCTCCCCGTTAATGAAATTACTAACATAAATAAAGCCACAGGCCAATAACCTCAGGATTTCTGCCCTCATTTCTACCAGGCCCTAGGAATTGTGTTTCTCTCCCTCCTGTTCCCTGGGGTCCACCCCCACATCCCCAGGCCACTCTGTAGGCAAGTCACCTCCCACACCTAAGGCCCAGATTTAGGCTAATAATACAGGACAATTTTCTGCCTAGAAATTACTGGCTGCCCCATCCCAAGGTCCCCCACCCTGAGACCTACAGTTTGCCTGGCACCTCTAACAGAGGGGACCGACTCTTTAGAGACCAAGTCAAGGCCTGGGGCTCTGAGAACTGTGGCCTGACCTGCTCAAGGTCATGCAGGGAGGAGAGATGAGTTTCAGTTCAGGTCTGTCTGGCTCCTGCTACTACTTCATACACCAAGTCCCCCCCCCCCCCGCCATCCCAATGAAAGGGATCCCCACACAATATATGCCTGTTCATGCCCCTGGGTAGACAAGGAGCTCCAGATACTCAGAATCCACGTCTGACTCATCCCTCTATCCCAGGCCCTAGCGCAGCACCTGGCACACAGTAGGTGCCAATAAATGCTGAAAGAACCCAGAGGTCTTCTAAGTCCCAACCTCTCTTTGCATTTCACATGGGAGATTTATTTTTAGATAATTTACATTTCCATGTTACTTTATATACACTAACAACTCCATAGTCATTTTCCCTCTTTATCTTTTCAAGAGCTCTTTTTGGTTCCATATTGGCATGCCCATTTTGCAGGGGCATCTGCAAGATTTGGAAGCGTGGCTTTTCCAATACTTACCCCTACAGCTGACTCCCTTCCCAAGAACAAAGGTGCACCAGCCCAGCAATGCTAATGATCACTTTCAGCAAGGGTGCCCTGGTGCCCAGGTGGTAGGGCCCTGCTTGCGTCTGGGTCTCTTTGTCCAGTGCCATGACCCGCTTCAGTAACCAGTAGCCCTGACCACCTCTCCATGCAATATAAGCCTGTTTGCCTTTCACAACCTAAAAACCTGGTTGTCAATCTTGGGCTGGCAACCAGCGTAGCGGAAGTATAGCCAAAAGAACATAAGCTTCCGGTAGGACAAAACAGACTTGGAATTGAGCCCTGACTACTATTTCTATGGCTTTCTTCATATCCACAAGTCCCGTTGACTGCTTCCCATCTGAATGAACCCATCAGTCCACCCCTTTACTGGGTGATCTCCGGTGGGTCACTGAACCCTAACTTCATCATCTGTTTTTGGATAGGATGTTACAGACAAAAAGGTTTACCAGAATAATCTATGTGAGAGTGCCAGCTGTATAACAGCTGCCCAATAAATGCCATTTGTCTCTTCCTTAGAGGTTGCAAAGTACTCAAGATGGAAGATGAGCATTTGTTGGTGTTTTCTATGTTTCACTCATTCAACGGACATTTCCTGAGCAGCCATTATGTACCAGGTGCTGGGTATAGAGCCAGGGGATCCCCAGGGTCTCTGCCCTCTTGGAGGTCACTCATAGGTGGGGAAGATGGCCGTGGAACAAAACAACTATCAACAATTACTGCTTGGGGGAGGGGCTGTGACAGAAACAGGGAGCTGTGATGGCTAGCAAATAATGGATGAAGGGACTGCTTTTCTTAAAAGGATCAGGGAAGACCCCTCTGGGGGGTAGCTTTGGAGCAGTGACTTAAATGATAAGGAACCAGCCATGGTATGTTCTGAGGGAAGAATATTCCAGGCAGAGGGAACAGCATATGCAAAGGTTCTGAGTTGGGAAAGAGCATGGCATTGTCCAGAGCTGAAAGGCGGCCAGTGTGGCTAGAGTGAAGTAAGCTGAGGAGGAGCTAGAAGACAGGAGACTGTGGGAAAAGAGGCTCACACTGCAAGACAGGAGACCGTTTGGGTTGCATTCCAGATGTGATGGGAAGCCACTGGTGAATATTAAACAAGGAAGAGACTGAGGACTACAAAGGAAGTGAGGCATGGAAGGCTGCTGCCATGGCCCAAGGGTCTGTGGTCAAGGGTGTGGTGGTCAGAGGTCAGTGGCCTTGTTCATGGGACACCAGGCACATCTCAGCCTCTTGCCCCGAGAGGGTGCTGGGAAGAGTGCGGTGACAGCCATGGCCCCATTTTGGTGGAAACTGATCCCTGGGCTTCTGACCTGTTCGTGTCAGTGATATCCTATAATGGGGGGTCCTTTAGCGTGCTGGGTGGAAGGCAATTTTTCACAATGCCCAGCTTTAAGGAGTGGGGAAAGAATAGACAGAGTTCCAGGGGCAACTGTTCCTCCTTTCTTCCCATTCCAGACACCTGCCAGAGGACAAAGTCGGGCCGCCCATTTATCATAGGTCAGTGGGTAGCCGGGCTGTTTTTTATCCTTAGTCCAGATGTCCTGGAGAGGCTCAAATTGAAGCACAGGGAACCCAGGCCTCCAGGACGCACATCCACTCATTATTGACCCAATGCTGGCCACAGGGGTTAGCGTGCAGTCCAAACTCTGCTTTTCACAGATGGGAAAACTGAGGGGAAGCAAAGAGGCCCACACCACCAGGCAGAGTGGGGCAACGGCCTTTGCCTGGTTTGGCCCAGTTTCTCCGCTTTTCTCTGACCCTGGGCCCAATTGATGGGAATGAGTGTAATTCAAAGGTGAGGTGAGCAGACCCAGTCTGAGGCAGGGCAGAGTGGCAGGCCAGGGTGGGGCAGAGTGACTCAGGTGTCCCCAGAGGCTGGCCACCAAAGTTTGAGAGGAGCAGAGAGACTCAGGAGCCTTGGGGAAGGGTCGTTTCCACTGTCAGGTGCGGATGCCATTTCCATCAATGACTCTGATGGCCATTGCCAGCCACCATGTCCCCTTGCAGTACACCTGGCCATAGTCCCCTACCTGACCAGCTGCTCCAGATTTGCCTCACCCAGAAAGTTTCCTGACTCCCCACCCCTAGGTTTGGTTCTGGGGCTTCCATGGTTGCTCACTGGTCCCCGGGGTCTCCCCATCCCAACTCTGACCACTGTATGGTGAGTACCTGGCTGCCCGTACCTGCCAGTGCGCAGCTGAGGTGAGGTTTAATAATCATTGAATAACTGAATCAATGCATGAGCGAATGAATGAATGCTGGGCTTGTTCTCCAAATGCACGTCTCGAACTGAAGTCTACAGCATTTTCACCACACTGCTCTGCCTACCCCTAGTCAATGACTACAGCATTTAGGGTGCTCCTCCCAGCAGGTCCTGCTGTCAAGTGATCTTACCCAAGTTCCTTCATCCCTCTAAGCCTCAGTTTCTAGTGCCAGTAAAATGGGGATAATGATTATACCTAACCACAGAGCTGAGAACAGGCACTCAATAAACATTACCTCCTCCTCCTCCTGTGTCTGTCTGCCATGTACTCTGCCGTTCATCCCCTGTGTCGGATGCCATGCTGGGTGCTGGGAATGCGGCAATAGGCAAATGGGCCTGGGCCTGGCCCTCATGAAGCTTAGGGACTGGCTGACTTTTAAAGATCATGACAAATGGATTGAGAATTAGAAAACAAAAGGCACCATGAAAACTCCCGGAGGAGCCTGGGTTGAGAGTCTCTGAAGCCCTAGCCCTGCCCTAAGGCTCACTGGACAGAGGCACTTGACAACGAGAAGGGGAGGGAGGAGACTATCTCAGGCTGTAACTGCCCTGGTGCCTGCAGAGCCACAGCTGATGAGGACAGCTTCTGCCCACCGTGCTGAATGTGAGGACCCCTTGACTACAGCATCTTTTTCCAGAAACTAAAACAAAGAAATAAGGAATTTCAGTCAAATGCCACTTTCCTAGAGGAGCGCTTCTTGTCCACACTTTCGAGAGGTGAAGGTATCCCCTTGCCCTGCTTTATTCCACTCAGCACCGCCATCCGCAGACAGGATGTGTATTTATTTGTTTCCCTGTGTCTGTGCATCTCACACAC